GAAAAGTAGTTAAATTCATTCTCGGCTAGGAAGTAATTTAACGAAGCAGCATAGATTGACTCGATAGCTTAATATATAGATTTAGCCAGGGCTGAAAGCGAAGCTCCCATTAATGAATTTATGATTTAAATCAAACAAAAAACTTGTAATCCACAAATCCACTTAAGGGCACATTCATGTGACTTTTGAGGGAAAGGGTAAGTGATTTTAGAGTTGTGAAACATCTTACATCGAGTTGATAGCGTTATATGTACACCCAAAAAAATGCAATCATCTTCGATCACATTCAAGAGCCATAATGGCTCTTGATAAGAGTAGATTAGGCTTGGAAAACCAATTCTTGGAAAAGAAATCAGGCCGCATTTTTTGCGTTCGACAAGTTTACTTTACAAAACTTGCCAACAACTGCGGGGGTGTGTGAACCAACCTCTTACACTTTTTATACATCACATCTGAGGTGAAACAGTACTATTTATCATACAGACCTCGGACAGAATGCGGTATTTCACAATTTTTCAAGTCAAATTGCACTCAGTCAATATTCAGGACGATCAATGGTGGGCTTTTATTATGTTTATTTTTTTTATTCAACGGTTTTATGACGATGTGTAATCTTAAAAAGCGTTCGATAACCGCGGCATTTTGAGTACTCTTACATGCGATGTTCATAAACGACTGAAAACAAACGGCACAGCGATTAAAATTGCAAGAGAGACTACTAACAATCAACAAAAAAATATATTTCGGGGAAACATTTACAGAGACAACAATTTTCAATCACGAAGACAAGTTTTTAAGTGTCTCCAGAAATCCTGAGTCTTAAAGCTCGAAGCTTTTAAAAGTTTAAACTTAAAAGTTTGTTTTAAGCCGGCCTCCCGTTGTTTGATGAAGATGAACTCGAAGCAAGAAAATCGCTTTCTTTCTACAGCCAAATTTATAACTAAATATTCTTCGGAACGTTTTCTTTCTATTTGCAGGGAGAAAATATATCTAAAGGCTTTTTTAAGTTTTGTTAGCTTATATCAAACCTGATTACTTGGTCAGATCATTGTCTCAAATCTTACAAATGTGCATAAACTCGCCGCATAAGCTGTTCTTGACTTCAAATACAGTAATTACTCAGGCTTACCATTCATGAGGCAGCTCCTGAAAGCTATCAAGTAAGGTCAGAATCGCTTAGCACTTTTTAACCCTCTTACGCATCAAGCAATGTGAAAAACGAGAACGTTGCCGTACAAAATCGGATTTCCGACTTTGACAAGCGACGCATTTCTCAAGCAAAAACCCAATTAAGAAAACCAGCCATGAATAACACAAGACTCTTGATAGCAGCTGTATTTCATTTTGTACACCCAATGGAAAAAGGCAGTTAAAAATATCACAAGTTGACACAAAACTCTGTCAGCTTCAACTGTCAAAGAAAACATGTTTCAAGGTGCTGCATAAATTTTCCGCATGAACTCACTTATCAAATTTTGACCAATCAGAGCATAAAAATTGGACGTAGAGCATGACCAACGCGTGAACATGGAAAGAAAAGTTCTTCTCGCCTATATTTTTAAATAACGGGCTGAATTCTCGCATCCGAGGTCAGTTTGAAATCAAAATCTTGATAGTGCGGGGCCATAGTGACATAAACACAACATATTTCATATGAATCATTGGAAAAAATAAACTTGAGCCTGCAATCATTTGAAACTGGTACTTTGTCAGCGGATAACTTCAAAAAATACTCGACCTCGATGGGTCGACACTTGAGCGCGCGGTACGGTCAAGTGATAACGGTCAGCGGATACCTTGTTTTGACAGCTGTCAATTGATCACAGCATTGATGTGAATTAGTCTTCTCTTGAGCTCCCAAACTAGCTAGAAAGTGTAAGAGTAAACATTGGTTTCCCTGTGGTGCGGACGGACGGTGGCTCGGTCGCTCGCTCGCTCGGTGTACGGTCACGTGATTACCAAATTTTCTGGGATGGGTAGCTTTCCTTAACTATGGAGTTCCGCCCACGCGCGGCGTAGGGCACCGCTATTGCTGGTTTTCAGTGTCACGCCATTCAAAGTAGATCAAAATAAAAATCAAAACCATTCGACAGGTAAAGTCCAGAATATGGGAAATGAAAGGGCGTAAATACACAAAGACCCTCGCCAAGACTTGGGTCGAAGGATTAATTCGTATACCAGATAGCCGAGGAAATGTTTTACCCAAATTTATAGCGCTTTGTATGGAGACGCCATACTGGAGCTCATCCGGTGAGCTCCAACATGGCGGACAGAAACCAACACAAACATATGTTAACGAGTTTTCATACAAAAGCGTGAATTTACTCCTAGAAGAACTCATAAACATTAAAGTAATACTTTTTCTAATACTTGAACTGTTTATATAACAAAATTCCTCGAAAAAGGTCACTTTTTTAACCTAAATGACAGCTCTCTCGGCCGTCATGTAAATGCTGCGTCACGCAAAAGCTTAGAAAATCAAGCTTACTCTATTACAAAACCAAGAACCCTTTTGAAGCGAAAATTTGTTTGAAAATTAGTTTTCAGTTGCTCTAGTACACCATGAAAGTAAAATCTCGGTAGGATCGATAGTTTTGTGGTTTGAATTCTTAAGTGACGTCATGTGAAAACCAACAAAAACTTTTTACCCGTTCCTATTATGAAGCTGTTTACGAAATATGAGTGCAACTATAATTTGCGAAGGAAATTGACCTTTGTGTTACCAAAACCAAACATTGAAGTTCTTCGCAAGTCCACTTGTTACAAAGCCGTATCTCTACGGAATTATGTTGACAATCAAATGCGTGCAATCTCAAACAAAAGCTTATTTAAAAACTCTCTTAGACGCAGAACTTCATGCGAATTGCTTAGTTCATAGATATATATTTTTCAGATAGGTTAGATCTTTTTCTAGACTTTGATCAGTTTTTAAGCTTTTTATTCCTTTACAAACTGTTTAACTTGTGGTCGTGCATTAAAAAATACACGACCACATCAGCTGCGCTGTAAGTTTATCGTGTTGGAATAAATGTTGTTGTTGTTGTTGCCTATACGGCTTGCGTGCCATCGATCCGTTCTACCACATTTTGAAGTCTCCTCTGATCTATTACTGAATACGCACGGCAACATGAAATCTATTTGTTAAATATATAGTAAATAAATGTCACAGTTACTATGCTATCACACTTAGTGTTATTAATGGCGCTATTGAAAAGTGCTTTGGCAAAGACACAAGCCTGGTAAAACGTATTTATTTACTGCTACCGCAGTTAGTGAGCCTGAAGCGAGCGAACGAGGCAGCTCTCTAATCGGCAAAAAATAACATTGTAGGGGCATTCAATCACTTTTTCTTACCAAACGCAAGGAATTGTGGTTAAGTGCGAATGGAAGATTTAGGATGCGCAGTAGACTCGCAAGGAATTGTGGCTGGATTACCACGTGCTTTCGTTATACACCGATTTTTAACTGCAATTTGATTAATTTGCAATCTCGGTAAAGTATAGAAACAAAAGGTTTTAGTAATGAGAAAACAAATAACTTTGCACGTGCTGCATACTTTTGCAGTTGGCCGACACTTGTCTACCGAGAACCGATGGCATTCATGATGAGTTCACCATCACAGTCGATGCCAAGGCAGAATGAAAGAAAAGTTTGAAACCTCTGTATATTTGGGTTGGTTTTCGGAAAACAGAACACGCTAAGACCGACGAAATAGCGTAGCATATGGACAAAGAAATAGCATCACTGAAGCAAGCAGCCGTTTAATATCTTTCAAGAATATTTTCACAAAATTCAATATTTTATAAGTCCGATGCTTTGACTATAGTGATTAGGGTTAAGCACTGACGATCGATACTGATTAAGGGTTAAGGACTGAAAATACTTATTTAAGCACTAAACATACTGATTAGGGCTAAGCCCTGAGAATAGTGATCAGGGTTAATGGTTAGCTTCTATTTTGGGTTGAGGTTTACGCTATAATATTTGAATAAAATCACCACCTTGCAGCGAAACCACAGTGGTCTGGTGGTTAGAGTAGTGGTATGCATATCATATGCTCTGGGATCGAATCCGTTCATATTCGAGTGATTTTTTTTCCTTTAAAATTGAAGAGACTTGCACTTTGCCAACATTTGTTGATCAGAAACTAAGTTTCTCAGTCTATTCTAAATCGACGTATGATAGTTTGGTCTGGTTGGGATTCTTCGATTTGTCAAAATTATTGAAAAAAAATATTGGACTGTTGGTCATTTAGTGTTTTGAAAATCTTGACCGGTTACCGGCCATATAGCCGCAGCCTTTAGTATTTTCCAAGCAGATTTCCTTCTGTTCTAAGAGGGAATAACACAAGCAGCATTAGAGCTATGAGCCCCAATTTTATGTGTTATATTTATTAAAAATTGAACATAACTGCTCTCCAAAATTGCTTAAATTGGTGTCTGATTCGTGACATGTTTGGCCACAGTGACGTTAACGTTGTGTTTTCATTATTGTCGTTTCTTAAACCTATCTTGTAGCGCACATCACAGTCGAACAACGTTTCTTAAACTTGGCAGATGAAATAAATAGTCTTATACTCAAGAATTTTGAGTTTCGTGGAAATCTCTCGATTTTTGTGCGAACAGAAACACTGCACTCCATAGTTAGAAAATTTGCTCATATCGCCAAATCAAAGCTTCAAAATAAATTTCAGTCATTCAGTTGAAAGCGAGAATGATTAAACTTATAGATATAAAAAATCAAGAATTATCTGGACACTTCTGACGCTACGCGAGTACGTTAGAAAAATACCAAAACTGGCTCATAATTAAGTTAGAATCACCTTAAACGCGATACTCAAAAGGAAGATAACTTCTAAATTTAGGTTATCATTGACAAAGATTCTGGATAGCCCTCATAGCCTCACATCACCTTCTACTAAAAACTTCAGTCTCGATTTTCCATTTTCTTCACTATTCCTTGTCTGCGGCAGCATTTCTACCCTTTAAGTATACTAGTTGTTAATTTGTATTACCAACTGTTTTAACAATGTTTCTCAGCTCACCTGTATTACTCAGGAGGAAGTCTTTGCACGCCAAGTAGTCTTCTTCCAAAATAGTTGTTTTAAACTTTACAGACGTTAAGTGAAATCTCCTTTTAATATCTTCTGTCAGCAGGCATTTCTCGGCAACTACATTCAAATAACCAGAACGGTAGTCTCGCCATAATTGTTCAAGGATTTCTGGATTTTCACACTCCACTGCTACTCGTAGCAAATTCCCATTTTCCTTAGTTGGTTCTGAGTCGTGAATTAACTTTATTTTCTGCAGATAAGCCGGGAATTCCTCAACGGGACTGCTAACCTCTTCTTTGTTTGCTAATTCCTCAGGATAAGTCTCTTGCTTTACGTCCGTAACTTGAGAACAGCCTCTTTGCATGTTTGATAATTGTTCTTTCCCTATAAGATTTGTTTGCAAGGTCAAGGCCGGAAAAGAAAAAAGAAACTGGTTCCCCACGTACCTTAGTTTAAGAAAATGACTATTTTAGAACTATGTAAATGTGTAGTATCAAGCAGTTTTAAATTTATTACAGTCATTTAAAAGCCTGATTGATGAAAACGTCTAAAAATAAAGTGTATGTTACAGGTCAAATTTATTCAGGTTAAATTTGATTTAACCTAGGTTGATTCTCAATTTCCTTTGTCTCCTAGCCTTAATTCATTAATAAATGATGCTAGAAGACAAAGAAAATAGAGAATCAACCTAGGGTAAAAAAATTTAACCTGAATTAAATTTTGACCTATGACACATACATCATAATTGCGGGCGACAAAAGGAGCCCGCAGCCTATTCTTGGTCAGCGGCACTCTATTAACTGTGCAGCGAGATTTTTCCCGAATCTGTCCAGAATGGCCGTTTTGTACCGGCTAATATGCATGGTATGTGGCCACGAAGGCCATGGTGTTGAGTTTAAGGTCCTTCTGATGTCATGGTAATCACGTGAATGCAAATGCAAGTAATGTAATAATTATTACTACATTCGCAAGCACAGTCACGTAATTCAGGTGCACAAGTACTGTACTAAATGGGAGACTTTTCGATTCGCCCATAGTTATGAGAGGAGAATGGTTATGAAAAGCGGCAAACATCAATGATAAAAACAACAGTGTTGTAGTTTATGTTGAGAGCACCCTGAAAGTGCACAATCCTTTGTTTTCTGTTGGCAATTTGTTACGGAATAAATTAAGGCAGCGTTTTTATTGGTCAATACAACCAAAATGAAAGGAATGCTTTTGAACGTTCTGCGCTTTCAGGCCAACAAAAACATATAACAAAGGAGTCTGACGGGTTTCATAACCATTCCACTCAATTAACTATGACTTGCCTTTCTGGCCTGGAATCTATTTACCCAGGAAAATGAAAGTAGAATGTGATCTCAGTTTTCGGTCCCCGCTCGATCTTACCATTCACAGGCTAATTGTATCTAAGCAAATGCGAATAATATTCGACGAATTAAATATGAGTCTTGTTTACTGCGTTGTTCAATCCAGTTTTTATGATCTGCAGTGATTCCTTTTGTTGGCACTGTAACTAAAGGGCATTCACATTCACGAGAAAGCGGTTTCGCCGGCACTTCCCAGCCAACCGCTAATGCTAGTATAACTATTACAAGATTACACATGCACCTTGCGTTTTTTCTTCTGAATATTAGAGACCAGAAGCTGATATTAAGAACGAATGTCGCGAAGGATTAAGCAAAATTGGAAATGGTCAAACAAAACCTTTATTTTTAAAATATTGAATGTAAACAGCCCAAAGATGAGCCCAAAGTGGGGTCGCCATGGGGAGTCTACACAAAAAGAAAGGAAGGATGATATTTTGCTATCATGTAAACAGATTTTTAACTGTTAGCCTGCTTTCTGAATAGAGCAAAAAATGCAAATTTTGGCTCAAAATTTTCCCAGGATGCCGAGTGTAGGTTTTTGTTAAAAGTCAAACAAATGCCACAGTGAGTAGTTTCATCTGAAGTACTAACTACACACAACGTACGAGGGAAGGTTTTGTTCGTCCATTTCCAGTTTTGCTCAATCCTTAGCGACATTCGTTGCTTTTTGCTGAATATGTTATTCACGGCTTTTATTAAGAATTACACTATATTTGATATATTCTTTAAGTTTTCAACTTCTTCGCATATTTCTAAATGCCAAATATCAAGGCGAGGTGGAAGAAAAAGTAGTAGCCCCCCTCCCCAGGAAATAAAGAAAGTCTCCAAAAGACAGTCTCCTCCCCTCACGTCCGCCCCCACTCAACGATTACCGGTGCCACCTTGCAATAGTTCATGGTAGTGACTGAATTCTATTTCGATTATTAAGTTAAATTATTACACACTTACCGTTCACCGAGAAGTGCAGAGTAACCGGTTCAGAGTCTACAGCAGATACACTAGGAGTTTCGCCAGCAGCTTGAGTGTAATCTTGAGGCAGGTCTAATTCTTTCTTTACCGACAGCTCTTGATCACGTTCTGAATAATCTGAGACAAAAAGGAAAAACTACGCTGGATCTTGCCTCTTAAGCCGACTGAAAGTAAATCGCAACGACAGCAACGAATTAACAACCGGAGCTATGTGGGAGTCGAAATCTCAACTGATTAACTTCCCTTCCAGAGGTCCATTAGCTTGCGAATACAGCCCTCTCTCCTCGCTCTTCGCAGCTAGAAACGTTTCTCCCGCGAAACGCCACTGGCGGCGAGGGGCGAGAAGAGACGGTGCCACCCCCTCGAAGCAATTTCATATTACCAAGTAAGGCCCTCGCACTCGGTTAGTTAAAGGTCAGAATTCGTGTTTATTACGGCTCGAACAAAAAAAGTGGGCACTCATCGACCATGAGGCAATCTCTACATTAAGACAAAGACAGATCTCAATCCGCTTAGTGGATCCTCCTGGGAGTCATGCGTGATGCGACTTCCGACAAAGTGTAAACCTCACTTAGGCGATGTTGATTGATAGTATATAGTAATGTACACGAAGTACGTGCCTAGCTTTCCCATGAACCTTCACTTGAAAAACCATGTGCTCTTGTAATGGCGGTTCACCATTAAACTGATGTTGTTGTGTGTTCGACCCTTGTTGTGTTTCATATTCTCTACCTTAACAAATCAACAGGCGAGAGGAATTAAGTCATTTTTTTTCCGGTAAAATTTAAGAGGGAGGAAGGTCAGTAGAGGGCCAGTTGAGCGGGAGTCAGTGTTTTATTGTAGCCCGAAAATGTCAACGTCTAGTCCAAGTGAATTCCTTTGTGGGGATAGTGCCTCTTGTTTCCCTCGAATACCTGTAGGTACTTCATATATACGTTACACAATAAGTTCAAAACCATATCATATATGAAGTACCTACCTGACAAATAGCAATAAACGCTAGCCAAGCAACCGTAGGCTCTTATAATTCTTGAAATAGGCTGAAATCAAGGTCAAACATAAATTGCCTGCTTCCTCTGATTAACATAAAGTTGGAAACAATGTTCCTGTGCGACACGGTAAGCAGTAGCCTGCGAGCAGGCACACTTTTTGTGGTCTGGGAAACATTTTGGCGGGGGAGCCGCCATCCAGCCAGAACATTGCAAGAGTGACAAACGGCAATTATTCAGCAAATTGATCCGACAACAAGGAACCTATCCTTAATATCGTTTTCTCGCATTTTGGCTACAATTCTAGTAACCTCAAATTATTTATTGTTACCAGCAGCAACAAAAGCCCCTCACGATTAATGTAGAAACTATTGGCTAGCAAAATGCCTGGGTGGAGCTCACTTCACACATCTGTTTGTTAAATAGCTCCCTGGTAGCCGGGTGTTACCTGCTAACATGAATCATTTTCCGTTTACTATCATTTAAGTCCATAAGAAAAAAAATAAGCCACACAAATACCAAGCACCAAAATGGAAGAATGTTTGCAATTATACAATTATACAATAACGTGTAAGGGTAGGGGTGAGGGTTAAAGCAAGTAGTAAAAACATAGTTATACAATTATAGGGGTTGTGTCACGGAATTCTTCAAATTTCAAAACAGTGGCAGTTGTCGCCAATTAAGAGAAACATAAAAAAAGCTCAAAACATAAAAAAGGTATAAATAACACAGCAAATAAAAAGGAAGGCACGGATGGTCAAACTTAAACTAAATTTTGTAATCGTGTCAGTTTTTTAGAGTTTTCATGTTTTGTTGTCTGTAAGTTTGATCTAATGCTTGGAGAGACATTCGATTTGTTATAAAGCTCTGATTTTATTAATTGCCCCCTGAGTACATTTGTCGCTAACGTTAACTTCCATCCCGACGAATAAGGTCGTGAACTGGAACTGAATATTAGCAAAATGAACCAGAAAGCCGTGACACAGCCCCCTTTAAGAGTTAACAGAAAATCTTTTTCTTTTACAAAGCGGGGTACCGGTTCATCATACTCCTAGTCTGCTTATTTCTTAACTGCAATGGATTACCTGCTAGGAACTGTTTGCAAACCAAGTAGTCTTCTTCTAAAATTGTTGTCTTCAACTTGACAAACTCTACGTGAAGTCTCCTCTTGATGTCATCTGTCAAAAGGTATTCTTGTACAACTGCATTGAGGTGACCAGAGCAATAGTCATCCCATAGCTGTTCCAGGATTTCCAAAGTGGGACATTCCACCGTTATTATTAAACTACCTTCAATTGCCTTCTTTACTTTTACTCCACGGACACCCTCCAAATAGTAAAATAGGCACTTGGCTTTTTCTTCATTTTTAATGCCAGCTGCCATTGTGTCAAAAAACTGGTTTGCCATCTCCTTCATCAAAGGCGTAAGATCTCCACTGTGATCATCTTGAAAGGTGGCACTGTCTAATTCAATCAGCACAGGAACAGTAGCTGTAAGTTAAAACAAATCATTTACCTGTTTAGATCTCAAGTAACAAATCGCTTTTGCGATAAATTTACTTTGAAGGTTCTGCTTCAATATATCTTATTAAATCACAAATTGCGTGCAAGAATTTTTTAGAATGAGACTAAGGACTCAGTAAGAGAGGATGATCCTCTCTTGCATCCAGGAAACTGCAACGGTTAACTTTACCATATGTCTATGAAAAATGATCTAGTACATTCTCTGCTAGTCCACTCTTTAATAGGTTTTTGCCATAAACATAACCGTCTTGAATTATAGCATTTATTATTAAGCTGAAATGTCATCCATCTGTAGTAGTCTGAGATGTTGGACCAATTCCCCTTAACAAATATTTCCTCGGGGTTTGAAGCGAAATAGGTGGGCGTATAGCTGAAACAACCGCCGAAGAGTTAGGGACTGTGTAAAAATTACCAGGAGGGGGGGGGGGCTGAAAAACAAGAGTTATCTAGCAAAAACTTAGACAGTACCTCCCCTCCAAAACAAAAAAATTAGTTCTAACCCCCCCTCTGTTATGTTAAAAATAACGTCGCACTCCCCCCCCCCCCACCACACTGGTAAACTCAAAACTAGACTGAGCTGCCATCACAGCTTCAATAATGACAAACGTTATTATGTAACATCTAGTATCGAGAAGGATGTTGATCGCTTGATTGAAGATTTAGACAAAGCATTTGCTAAGTACCGGGGTGCTTACCACATTGGCTCAAAATCTAAAACTTCTGAAGCCAGAAAGAGAAAGGAGCAGCGAAAAAAATCAAAGAACAGGAGATTGAACGCTTCAAATAACAGACGAAAAAATGCTTGCATTATATTTAGATCCTTGGGAGGAGAGCCTGTTGAACTTTGTTGTGAGCCACATATATATGGAATTCAGCAAATCGATTCAGTCGATGAAGAAACATTACTTTTATTCACATCAAAAACCGACAAAGCTTGTCTAGGAGATCTGTTTGATTCCCATTGTTTTATGGGGGAAGCTGAGAAACAAGTTTATGATTTTTGCTTTACATAGGATCAGCTCAATTAATTAGAAGACGGGTTAAAATTGATCAGTTGTGAATTTGCTTTTCGTTTTGATGGAATATTTTCAATAATCGTGTTGATATTTGTTACAGTCTATGATGATGCCTGTATTGAGAATCTTTTATTGCGTTTAATTTTATTGACATTTCGAATAAAACTTAAGGCCCTCCCTCCGTCAAATGAGTGATTTTACTTTGAGCCCCCCTATCTTGGCAGCAATTTTATGTAATGCCCCCGCCTCTAGTTTTTCAGCCCCGGCCCCCTCCCTCCTGATAATTATTGCACAGTCCCTTAAGATATATATATATCGAGTACTGTTAAGTTTTTGCTTCAAACCTAAAGAAAGTTAAGATCGCTTCAAGGTACAGCACTTTCAGAAATAGATGTAATTTGTTTATTAGGGTCGTTTGAATTTTAACTTTGAATTGAAGGAATTGACTGATCGTAATAAACGAAGTGAATATGAAAGGTTATCACTGCTCACTGTGTGAATCTGTTCATTTGGGTTGTGCAGCAAAATATTACAGTATGGAGTGGCATGTAAGCTCATATTAAAAGCTCTCTTGAATAGAGTTAATTCCGATAAATTTGACACTTTCTCCAGTAGTTTTTTTAGCGTCTTAACTTCTATGATATTCCCCTCGCCCGGCAAAATACCTATAAACTCGATGGATAGTCCAGCGCGTTGTTGTCGGTTAAGAATTTACACGTTGCAGTGAGTGTCGCCTGCGTTTTGCAATTTCAATACCAAAGGACAAATACGGTCAGTGCGGGAAAAACAAACAGGCATGATATCATTTTTTCAATTATTGAATTATTTTCTCTGCTGGTTCGCTTCTCGCCTCTGAAATATTTACTTTGTGAAAAATACACTGCACAGTTATCCGCTGACCACCACCAAAGTGACCACCTTGTAAGATGTGAGAACATCGTTTCTCGTCCCTGAGACCTGGTCTCTTCCCCTGGTAATAACATTATGCAGTAAGTTCAAAGAGGAGCGATCCTGTGTTGGTGGATGGTAGTAGCTGCTGGTGGAGTACAGTTTTCTTGTTTTGTCAAACTGCACTGAGACTGCAATGACCTCGGGGCCCTTGACATCAAAGCGTTTTTCCTCGACAGTGACTAGGTTGTTGTGAACTGCGACAAATACTAAATACCCCTCCACTAGAAGATGACATGTCCTTACAGGAAATGTCGTAGGTCTCAGGGAAGATTGAATAGGTCGGAATATCAGCGTCAAGTTTAGACTTACATCCCAAGTAATATCTGGGTGATGCAACTCAATGTGAGTGTGGAACTCAAACAGTTACCAAAAAAGAGTAGTTTGGGAGTTTTTATTTTGGAAAACAATAGCGATTGCACATCCAAACTACTGTAGCTTTGAATCTCATCCTTAGTTGTCATAAGATTGAGTTGACATATAGATGTAATTAGTATGAAACCACTCGAATGATCAATCGCATTCAATTTTTTTCTCCTTGGCAGCATATATCGCACGGATGTATCGCCAGGCCAGGATTTGATTGAATATCGCCACACAAAAGGAAGTTAAAATATAGCAGTTGTCTCGAAGAACAAAACGGCCGTTGTAGTGATCCAAGACGGGGACAATTTTGTTTGCAAAACGATTGATAAAGGCCTCAAATCCAACAAGGAAAGAGTGATATGTCAGCGGCGAAAACTGATAAGCGGTGTCATCGGAACAAAAACTTAACGTTAGGCCCCGTGGATCGTTCGGCATAAAGCAAAGCACAAAAATAGAGAAAGAAAGCACAGTCGCTGACCATCCACAATTAGCGCGCAGCAGAAAGTGCTGACCAAATTTTATCTTAAGAAATACTATTCTAAAACATTTGGAAAGTTGAAGCTCGGGGAAAAAAATCTGTCTTAGGATTTCAAAGTTATTTACATTTTTGGTAGTTTAAAAATGATATGTCCAATATATGCGTGTATCTCAATAATTTTAGACCTAAAAATAAACGGCGATACTATTTTTTTCATGTTCCGTCATTGTATATTAGTTGTGCCAGAAAAGCATAGAAAACGGTTAAATAATTCCTGAGGAACAAAGGCCATACAACACGTAACCAACATGATAATAGAAAGGTCGGGAACAACCTTTAAAATGGCAGGACTGGAGGAGAATACTGTACTGGCGACAAGATTTTCAAACTTGCATAACGCGTAGTTTACAAGCCGAAAACGTTAGGCCAGGCGACTTTTTTCTTATCAGAGGCTTATTGTGCAAATGATGTAGAAATTATAACGTAGAAGTGTGTACCTAGCCTTTCAATGGTGGGACAAACGGACAAAGACTGTTAATAGTAAATTATGTTGAATAGCAAAAGTCGACTAAGAATTAAGTTTTAAGCTTCCCTATGTCACAATTGGGAAGATACCTTGATCCTGCACACTTGAGTCCTCCGTTTGTTGACAAGCTCTCTGAAGTGTGAAGCTCTGGTATTGCGTTGATGAACCTGCAAGCACGGATAGTAAACTCAGAATAAAATTTTTGTGTATTTACTTGTCGTCTATGAGTTGATGAGCTTCTCCAAAATACATATGCACATTATGAAAATGTGAAAAACACGTTCAAGTCCTTGGCGAAAAGGCATTTCAAGCGCCAGGCTATTAGCCTTAAATCTTTTCTAAGCTTTATATATGTATGTCTATGTATTTTTAGTGTGCTCTCTCTAAATAATTAAGTAAATAAATCATACAAATTGCTGTAGTTTGTCAACATAGGCCTTGAGTTGGTGTCTTAGTTCACAGCAATGCGAGAAAGGTCTATTGTACGAGCTCAGAGCATTTGAATCCATTGTAGAATGGCGATGAAAACCATATTATGACAGGGGCTTTGAGCAGATAACTCTTTCGCAAGCACATTACAGTAACGCAGCTCATACGACAGCTACAGATCGGGAAACGAAAACGCTGTAAAAAACGTTTACTTCGTTGACTGTTGTTTGACAACTGAAGAATTACGAGCCGGCTTGGTTAAACAACTTGCTCGAGCGATTTTACGCCCAAGTAAGAAAAACAAGAAAAGGTAAATGTGCAGCGTGCAACCATCAAGGTAGGGATGCACGCAGGAGGTTACCAAGCGTAAGAGTTGTTTGAGATGTAACCGTGTCAAAGTCTCTAGTTTTTCAAGTGGTTAGCACACCTCCCACTAAAGTTTATCCATACCTCTCGATGGTTGCACAAGACGTCACGTGCCCGCGCGTAAACAAATCATCCTTTTCAAAACAATCGCCGAATCTTTTGCTACATCAGTTGTTATCCGTCTTTTTTTGCTGTTATCCTACTACTTTTGTCCAATTGCTATCGATATCAGGGTAAAGACTTTGAGAAACCAACTTTGCCCATAGACTCAAACACCCAGACCGCGCACCTTTCCAAATTATCGTCCGGGCACTCTATTCACCAGACGTAGTTAATCGATAAACCGATGATCGATAATAATCGATAGTAATCGATATTAATCATCGTCATGTTGCAGGTGATCAGTTTCTCAATTCTCAACATGCATGAGCTTGTTGACACATGGTTGCGAGAGGCATGGTTTTTAAATTGCCGGACTGACAGTCAAATGACTGTATACTTTCCTTGACCAAATGAATTGACAATTTGTCCAGATATTAATGAATCCAAATCCCAGTCAAAACTTCGTGTACTGGACACAAATGATGTAAAACAAAAGACTTTTTTGTTTTCTGTTCAGGGAAAGTCTGCTTGGTATTGTTTCATGCTTTTTGTTATTTTGTTTTATGTCATCTGTGTCCGGTACACAAAATATATTAAATGCCCAAACATCCATCCGAGCCATCCTCTCTATGAGACAATATTCTGCCAATGGAACATGTTTGACTTCGGTGAATACGCAGAAATATATGTCACCTCCCTCTGACTTCTTTGAAAGAGTTACATTTTCCCTGACTTATACGGAAATTCCCTGACTTGGTAATTATAAACTGTTCCTTACGGGGAAAAGAATTAATTTTATTTGCACGGTAATTACACATGTCACGCACTCTAAATAATGTGAGGATATCCGAAATACAGATGTTATTTTCGAATGTAAAGTAAGATCAAATATAGGAGGCCAATTGCAAATGTTATCTTGTTGTGGTCTGACATTCTTCTACGTATAAAACTGTTAAAGTTATAAAGCTTTTAAATAAAATTGCCTCAAAGAATTCTGGCATAATTTTTATTATAATTTTAATTTACTTTTATAATTATGATAAGTTCCTCTCTTTATATTACCGACCTTAAGTGGACGGGGACATAGAGGACGGTGACTTTAGCCGCGGCGGCTTGGGGACGGACGACGTTGACTTGGCGAGAGAAACAAACTTTAAGTTTCAGTAGAGGTGACGGTCACAGACTTTTTTTTAAACTTTATTGATGGTTCGAGAGAATGAGTTCCCTAAAAGAGATCCGAGAGATTTTGGTCTACTTTTATATGATGGTGTCATATCAGATGAGGAATTCGTTCTCTTGTAGCTTCTTGTACAATGAAATCTAGTTGAGCGCTTTGTTACTCGAAAGAGAATGTTCGTCGCTTCATTGAGCTTATATATTTGCGATTACGTATTGCCACATTTACCAACGCTCCACAGTTCTTAGGCTAACAATGGCTGGTAATCAAGCTTAGAAAGTTCTGGGCTTGACTCGGAAGCGGTAGGGTTCACTTACATGAATTTCTTTAGCAAGCTGAGTATCGTGAATTTTAGTGCACTCCACATTCTTAAAACAGTAACAAATTAATACGATGAACCGGTCGCGCGCGATGTACAGCCGAGTTCCTCGATCCTTCTTTATCAAGGGGTTTATTTTGTCGAATAAATGAACCAATGAACAGGTAGTTTCATTTTTGCCTAAAACTTAATCAGGAAAAATGAACTAAATACTTCGTGAATAAAGAAGAGGATGGAAGCCGATGTTCAAATGATGCGAGACTGAATATTAAATGTGACGCTTTTATCGTTGGGAATTCTAACCCTGCAGTTGTTTCATTTGGACAAGTTCAGTGTACTATATTCCATCATAAAATAGTGTTATATTAAGTAATCGAGAAAGGTTTACCATTTGAAGTATACTAGGCATTGCAGAAACAGATAAAAGCGGTATTCTGTTAAAATAAAGATATTTTGAAGACAAAAACACAAAGAGAAAACTCACGTTCTCGAGACACCGCCGCACTAAGCTTTCTCACCTTTGCGACGTGCAGTCGACGTAGCTGGACGGCTGAGATATATGCAAATTAGCCCCAAATCGGGCAACTTTTATTTCCGGTTGCCGTTCTCCACCTTACCGTCCACCCTAACGTAAGGTCCGTATTGACGAACGACGACAGCGGCCTCGTTGTCTTCGCGTGTGAAGTCTTGCTAATATGCTTTCTATAGTGCGCGCGAATAATAATTATGTTAAAAACTTAGAATAAACAGGATTAAGTTCTAAAAACGAAAGATAGCTCATTAAAAGGAACATCGACGACAGCTCAAAGACCCGGCTCAGGGTCTTTTATTGTAATATTACCCTTGGTTCGAAACAATAGACTTAGCGCCTTGCCCGCCACAAATATTCGAAGATCGCGACTTGAAACGTCGCTTTAGCCGAAAATCGAGCCTGCAGCTTGTAATGGTGGCTATTATTCTTACCTTGAACCAAACTAATCATCTCTTGAATAAGTCCTTTAGATTGTTTCTCCCAGCTATAGGTTTCTGCGTACAAAGAACGTAATGCCTGCGACTCTCCAAGTCTTTTTCTTCTGTCTCTATCCTTACGGCCCTTGATAGCATTTGCCCAAACTTGGACATCGTCTGAATCAACGACAAAAGACGGTCCAAATAGTGCTTCACTTAGAGCTTTCCCAAAGCCTGAGTTTCCACTTACAAGTATGGGTAGACCAGCAGAGAGGGCTTCAAGTCCTGTCAGTCCAAAACCCTCTGTTCTTGAAGGCATGATAGCGAGATCAACTTCATAAAACAAGTCTTTCAAACTTTCCCGGTTTTGTAAAAAGCTTCTGACTGTTAAGTTGTTGACATGAATACCACAATTGAGAAAGCGGTTTTTAACTTCCTCTAACTTATCCTCCGGTGCACCAACAAAAACAAGTTTAATGTTATCTAATGAGGCAACTGCTCTTGCTGCAATATCAAACCCTTTAACTGAGAAGTCTTCTTCGTCTCCACGGCCAAAAAGAAGAACTTGGAATTGTCCTTCTCTTTCAGCAACCTGTTCAACTTCAAGAAACTCACTGAAAATACCAGGAGTAAAGTTGAAGACCATCTTGTCCTTCTTACAAGAGGAGAGATAACAACGGAAAGCTTCGTTTAATTTAGGACCAATAGAGACAACAAAATCAGCCAGTTGACAAAGTTCAACCTCCGTCTTATGCTTCTTTTCAGCAGCTGCTAATGAATTAGCGTATAGTTTATGCATTCCGAGTTCTTCTGGTACTGTATGAACAACTTGAACCCATCTACATTTACGTGACTTCTTTATAACGCTTGCTTGTGGACCAAGCTTAATTCCATGACCAACAACAACGTCAATATGCAAATCACCAGGTGGAAAAGAAAGCCAGTGAAGTTCCTTCATACCTGGGACCCTTGATGCCTCAACAAGTTTAATTTTGAGACCAAGAGCTGCTTTCCTCTCTTCGTCATTGCATTGCGGAACAAAAAAGGTGACATCCATCCCAGGGTGCTTAGCTATATTTAAAGCTAATTCTCTGTTAATGGTCGATAACCCTCCTTTACAGGACCCCCACTCAGATGCCAGAAAAAGAACCCTCAATTTACCAGAAGGTGGTAGAGACACCCCATTCTCTTGATATTCAGTTGAATTCGACGCCATTTTTGAACTCGTATCCCAATCCTGAAAAAAAAAATTCGTAAGCCTTATTTTAAGGAAAACATTTGATTCATGTAAGATTTGAAGTAAAATTAGAAATACTGCTAACGTGTGGCGTTAAAGAATTTAACTGCGGCCTAAAATTAGACCTTTAAGTTTAAATCCGAAGTTAGGATCCACTGCATCTGGCCCTGGTATTGCAGATACTTCTGAAATTAGATTGATAACCCTTTCTCAACAGACTATAATGGGCAGTCAGCACTACAAACGTCACAAAGAACGAAAAATTCCATTCACCCTCACCCTTAACCCACCAAGTCAAGCAGTGGAATGTATCATCCTTTAAAAAACTTGGGCTGTAATTTGAAAGCTTCAATAAACCATCTATATTTTCAGTGTGGTTTCTGGACTATAGCCGGAAATTCCCATACAAAGTACAAAAATGTGCTGCGATTGAAAACAAATACCGAGCCTGAGGCACCGTGATATAACGGTCATGTGACTACATAACATGCTGCTCGATACAAACAGTATACTTTCGATTCTCGATTTCTGTGAGTACGGCGAAGTTCGGCTTTGCACTAATAGAACAGACATAAAAGTTATCCTTGTATACATCATAATCATTTGTTGCAATAGACCCTTCCACGGTTTTTTCAACTTTTGGGTGGAAAAGTTGTGGAAAATCCGTTGACACGACTGGAATAATCTTAAAATTAGTACACTTGCCAAGTTTGAAAGTGATACTTCTTAAGCGGGCGAAGATATAGCTCCGCGAGGTTGGGAAAATTAACAGACGTTTGTATGGTGAGGGCAAGTTTGTGTCCCCACCAAACAAACGTCTGTAAAATTTCGCGACTTTGAGAGCTATATCTTCGTTAATTTCAACAAATCACTTTCAAAATTGGCAATTTTACAAATTAATCTAGAGGTGCTCTTTCTAGCAGAATCGATGGATTTTCCTTACTTCTCCATGTCAAAAGTAGGGAAAAAAAAACACGTAGAAGAGTCTATGGTGCAATTTGTTTTCAGCTGAACGAAACTCTGGCCGTCACAACCGCATGCAACGAAGGCTCTGCATTGGTAACTGCACTGAATATAGAGGAAGCCACCATTTAACCCTAAAACCCTTATCTTAGAAAGCAGACAAAATGCGACTTGAAATAGAAGGAACTGAAACCTGAATTATTTAATTTCTAACCCTTAAGAATAAACTTTTTTTAAAAGCTGGCAAGAATGACATTCAGCTTGAAGGAGCCAATAAATCTCTATGCAATATTTGCTCCTTCGAACAGTTATTATTATTAGTAATGGTAACAGGACTGAGTGGAGTTCAATTCGTTCTGTAATCATACGAGTGATTAACAAAATCGGACGACCGCGTAGCGGGAGTCCGATTTCTTTAATCACGAGTATGATTACAGACCGAATTGGACGACACGAAGTTCTGTTACCAATTAATCATAACCCTAACAAAATTTGTTATCTATATAATGCTCTTTTTTTAAATCAAAACACAAGAAATTCCAAGATCTTCTTTCTGCCAGTAGTGAAAAAAAGCCATTTAAGCGCGCGCGTGATGGCGCGTACTGTCCAATTACTTAGGCATGACGCGTACTGTCCTATTATAAACTGTCCAATGATTAAGGCTGAAATCAAGGCAGTTGGTAGCCAATCAGATTTGGGAATTTTGTTATAGTTATGATTACTATTATTATTATTATTATTATTATTGGTATTATTATTAGTATTTTAAGCAAAATGCATGACTGATCTCGCTCAAGCAGATAACCCTTGACAGGATTATTTCACATAAATGCATTATTTGTCTTCAAATAAAATGTTATGCGACAATTTAGCCTTACATAGTTTATGAGTACTGTAATGTGGAAAGAGGCTAGGAACATGGAATTTGAATTTTGAATTCAAGATGGCGTCTTAAGGTAATGTCGTATTTATTGATCGTCGTATAATAGATGTCGCGTTCTTGATCTCGTTGACACACAAAAATTTTTTCATCAGTGACAGAACAGGTGAGTTTCCTCTCTCTTTATTGTTCATTGTGTCTGGTTCATAGTTTATTCGCATCGATGGCCGTAACTTGCAACCCATTTTCACTTTCCAATTGGTTTTTAATGACTTTTAACCATTTTCAACAACATTTCTGGCTGGTGTCGCATCGCTTCGGTTTTTGTACATACGAGCGATCTGACCTTTCAATTAATTATTTCCTTTCAGTCCAAAATGGCTTTGTGTGTCCCGAAAGTAATGATACTTGGTCATTCTTTCGTTCGACGCCTCAGTGGTGACTTGGTGAATCGTGCCAAAAGTAACTTCGACCTCGAAGATGTTAAGGTCCGTTTATTTGGTGTTGGCGGAAGGACGGTTAAGAAAAAGTAAAAACTGTACTTCTGGATATTTACATAAATTAACGCTTTTAATCATTTTAGTGAAATAATCATTTCTCTCTGTTTTGAACGGCTTGGAAACTAAAATTTCGAGGACTTTTTTGGACTTTTATCATGTAGGGTATGAATTTTGCGTCATTTCAGGCCATGGAGCCTAAATATGAGCCTAGCTAGCCATAAAAAGGGGAAATACGCCCTAGCCGGCATGATCACATGCTGTTTAAGGAAAATTCCCTCATCCATGTCAGGAGATTCTGTATTTTAAAGCCTCCCCTAGGTCATGAATCAGCAACTGAGGTCATTTCTGCTTTGGTTAGCCTGCGAGGGTTTTTCCCATGCCTATCGTCAATGATTTGCTCACTAGTAATAGAGGGGGTGGCCCCAGAGTGTTTTTACATTTAAATTGGCATGCAACAGAAATTTGCATGCCCTGTAAGCGTATTTTGATGTTCCATGACCTTCCCACCAGCGCCGCGAGAAACCTGGGTTCTAATAACAAATTAATACCCAACATGCCTCGCGTGCCAAAATCTACGGCATGCCGGGCATGCCAAAATCAGTCTCTGGCGTGCGCTAAACGCACAGGTTAGTTCCTTGAATTTGCAGCTATTTAAGCCAGGCCAAAAAAAACTTAGACAGATCGCCGTGCTTATCTATGGGGTGTAATTACCGTCACAAATAAATGTTTGATTATGATATCCACAATTTCAGTTATGACATTGAGATATGCAATTGTGCTTTTTCAATATGACGTCATAATTATGGGGTCCAACTACTGCCCAAATTAGTATTTGGTATTTTTTAACGGCATTATGCTATTTGGTCCTTGTGTTATGACATTATGCTATCACATTTGACTATTTTGCTTTTGCAATGTGCTGATTTGCCACTGTACCTTGGTGTCCGGCTATTATACTTTGCCATTTTGCCATTACATTCTAGTTTACGGAACGGCGCCTGTAGATCCGTGTCGCCCGCAAAATCGCGGGTCCCATGACTATTTGCGCGCTCACAAAGGAAGCCGATGCATGTCGCAACCTTTGATTCAAGACACAAGTGTTAGGGTATTGTTTTCACGATACAAAGGTAATTTAACTTAAGAAAATCTATAAATCGAAGCTTTCGCGCCACTCTCTGTTTTACAAGGAAATGCAAACGCTCAACTTCATAAATATTTTGACTTCATAAGATATTTTAACGATTTAGGCCAGCAGAATGTATAGACTTCCAGAAAAACTATTCAGGAAACCGAACGGTTTTGAACTGCGCTAGATGTTGTTTTTATCGGTATGCAAATCACCTACCCAATCACTTACTTTCCATCGAACTGAAATATCCTGACTTTTTATACCACTTTTCGATTTGATTCGTTTCATTTTATATTATTTTGCGCAAGCTGAGCTCTTTCATGCGAATTGACGCTTTGAAAAGGAAAAAACTTCGAGGAAACGTTGTGTTTACAACCACGGCAATTTGTATCTATTTCGCTTCACTTACGCTTATATGCAAATTACTGTTCACCCGCCAGATTTCGCTGGAGACAAAAATATCGATTTTGAATTCCCAAATGCTCGCCTTTTGGGGCACCCTTTTTATTTTGGCTATCAAGATCTTAAAAGCTAAGCTTCAGACTTTTCATTCCAACGTTCTAATGCGGGAAAGTTAGCAGAAATGCTGCAACTGATTTAAGTCACGCAACACGCTTTAAGACCGTATAACTTGATCTTTTTGTTATCTTTTGTTCTTCTATTGTCTCCAAAGCAGGCGCAGGCGTTTTTAGGGAAGAAATACGATCTCCCCTAAAAACGCCTGCGGGGGAGGCTAAAGTTTAGCTAGGTCAATTTTGGGCTGCGAGGGCATGAACCCATTTTTTCCATGCCCATGAGATGTTATTTCTAAGTACCAATGGTCCCTTTAATTTTGTCATGCCTAAATATATAAAATTTCGCCTCTCTCATTAATCCTCAGACTGAATGCAATTTTTACGCTCGCTAGGCATGTTCAATTGAAAATCATACCCATACCCTCATTATAATAATAATAATAATGACTGTTTATTAAGACTCATTGCAGCAATATACAGAATGGCTGAATTGCAGAGCTATTTACAAAACATATAATACTAAAATATAATACAATAAATCCAATAAATACTAGAAAATATAATCGTACAAGCTACTAGGTATACTTATGCGTGACAAACTCTTGCGTGCGCTTGATCCTACAGGTAGGACGCGTGGAGCGGCTAATACCAGATCTAAGATTATAATTATGCACAACCTCCTCCTGTTTGGGGAGCATAAAATGCAAGCGGTGATTCTCATTCCGGAGTCTATCAATATAAACCTGGCATAGATGGGCGCGTCTGTCACTTAGAGCTGTTAAATTAAGGGCATTTAATGCCTCTTTTTAACTCATTAAAGGAAAAATGATGCGCAAAGCCCTTTTCTGAATGCTCTCAATCTTATAAGATAGAAAATCTGATATATCATATTCGAAACAAAATGCTATCACATTTTAGTTTCCAAGCCGTTTTTTTAATCTTCTATTTCTTCTTTTGTGTTTTTTTCTAAGGGAATATTTTTCAAATATACT